CTGCCGGAGCCGCGCCTCCTGCCTGCCAGCTTGTCTTTTGAGGGGCGGGGAGGGAGGAAAAAAAAAATCTTCTTTTTCTTCTTACCTTTATTTTGTAAGAGCTGATGCAGTTCTCTTGCATGGCTGTGTGACGTCACTGTCAGCACAGTAAGCATCAGCAGCCTGGTCACATGCTGACCCAGTCAGTAATGCAGACGGGATAGGAAGGTGGAGGGGCTGAGGGGGGTGGGGGGCTGGTTTCTGGCCCTATGGGAGGCCCGCCTTTTGGGGCGCCGCCTAATTGCAGGAGCCGTGGCTTGAGAGCGGCACGAGATCCAGCTCGGGGCTTAACGTTTTGGAAAAACTCCTTTAAAAAGAAAAAAAAAAAAGTGGCCCCGAACTCTCAAGCTTCTGTTTGTTCTCCATCTGAGCAGACTTCCAGGACTCTGAAGAAACTGTGGCGAGCAGGATGCTTTTTCCTACGTCCACGCAAGAGTCTTCCCGTGGCCTCCCAGACACCAATGATCTGTGCCTTGGCCTGCAGTCCCTCAACCTGACGGGGTGGGACAGACCCTGGAGCACCCAGGACTCTGACACTGCAGCACAAACCAGCACACAGTCCGGTGAGTCTGCTGACAGATGCAGCAACAGTTGTTGAATTCCTTTTAATTATTTTTTGGGTGAGGGTGGAGGGAGTGTGTGTTAAAGCTAATGTGGAGCGATTTGCTTGTGTAACGGGGTGCTGGCAGTTCCTGATGGGGGGCTTCTTGACCCGGAATGCTTGCATAACGCGGTGGTTGAGTTGGGGAGGCCGTGGCTGGCTGTGCCACAGCCCCCTCTGCTCTGTTGTCAGCTCACTGCAGAGGTGCCCAGGCTTCTGTTTTCCTGACTGCCGTAACACTGGGGGAGGAAAAAAATAAATCTCGCTGGGAGAGGAGAAATCCTCTCCCTGTGTTTGGAAGGAGTGGGTGGGTGGTGTCGGGAGGCTGAACTTCGCTCCAGCAGCCTTGAGAACAGCCTTGAGAAAATCCCCGCTGTCAGGGAGCTCTGTGGGTGAGGGAGGTGTCTGGGCTTGCTGAGGGGACCCTCTGCCCCGGCCGTGAAAGCCCTGGTGGCACCCCGTCGTGCGTCTGATGCTCTGGCTCTGTCACCCGCCCGACTTCTGCCCTGTGGGGCGTGGTGGGCGCAGACAGCACCCAACTTGCAACTTCAGCCGGCAGCTCTGGAGCTTGGCTGGAAGACTTGGTGGGATCCTCCCCGGCTCCCACGCCCAACTAGAAATAGCGGCCGTGCCTGGCGGTGGGCTGGAGAAGATGCGGCGGAATGGCTTCTGGCTTTTTAACTCTTTTGGGCCGGTGCGAACCTACGTGACAGGCAGAGTGTGGGCTTGCAGCCACCCGCTGCTGGCTGATTTGCCCTTCCCCCCCGATCCTCTC